CGACGAACGACTGTTTTCAAAGAATTCCGTATATGTGTGGAAATTCTGTCCTCCTCTTCGATCTATATCTGTGTTAATTTCATCATAGTCTACACTTAATTAATTATTGTACCGAATAAAAGAAAAAAAAAACTAACACTGAAAAAATATAAAACATATTATGTAAATATGTATAATATTGGATCTATTATTTATTACACATGGACCATTTTTTAAACTATTAATGTTGATAGCGTACAGTATTTATTACTAAAATGTTCAAATCACCATAGTTTCCATGCCTTCCAAGCTTAGTATCACGAACCTACTTTTAGTGCATTATAAGTAAAATAACTCCGACATTAAATGTTCAAATTTTGATTTTGATGGATACGTATGTTAATATTTTCAGAAAAAAATTAACAGTCGAAAAGGGGGGGATGGGAGAGGAGGGTTCTCATTTAAAAAACAGAAGTTTCTCATGAATTCAAAATGATTGTATATTTGTCTGCTGATTTTCAAAAATTCCAACTCATCATTGTTTAGTAACAAACATCACGTCTTACAGCAGAACACCATGTGATATTCATAAATTGCAGTAATCGATAGTCGGTACATATTATGTTCTTTGATGTGTATTGTACAAACATTTACAATATATAATACAGCGAAGTATGACTCGTCACATGAAATTAGTTCTACAGCAGTCAATAACCATTTAGAAAAAAATTATTTACATTTTTAAAGAATTGGTATTAATGAACATCTACTTTATTAGTATATTTAACATTTTAATTATGATTATTGTTGGTCCCGTAATGTGATATTTAATTAAATAATTATTTAATTAACTTGTATTGTTCAAAGGTGTATGTGATAATTCTGTATTAGTCTTTACACGAATTAAACTGTTTTGCTTTACCCATAATTTGTATTTTCATATGCTATTCATCTTTCATAAAGATAACCAGGTTCGGATTTGTATATTTTAACATATATTTCCTGAGTTACATGCTGTTCGACGAGGATAAAAATGTAGACAAGTGTTATAACACAGTATTCATAAAAAAGTTTATTTTGCATACAAAGCTTATTTAGGTATATTATGCAGTCTATATATTTTATAAAAATGTTTAAGAAAATCCTATTTTATCCTTTTATTTCTCATTTTTTTTAACGGAAATAGTAAAACGAATATTGAGTATTAAAAAAAAAATGATAGTAATTTTTCATCTAATTTATTTTGTATTATTTAAAAAACGATGGCTTTAATTTTTAACGTATATTCATTAGAGTTTAAAATACATTTTCTTATATTTATTCCTAAATTAATGTAAAAATATATTTTTAAGTATTTAATTATATACTTACTACTTAGCTGATACATGCGTACCTACTTAATTGTATTTCTCAATCGTCTCGATCTATAATAATTAAGAGAAAAATAATTTGGCATACTTTAAATTAAGGGTTATTTTTTTAGGTACATATATATGTTTGTGTACACTTAAAAAAAAATTAAAAATAATTTATGCATCAAGGGTTTTTAGAGTGGTGATTCTTTTAATTTTGAATAATTGAATGTCGGTTTTTATCAAATATTATGCTGTGTTCCGGTGATATTTTACTTTCATAAAAATATTTAACGAATGATGAAAAGGTAATTTTTGTAGCAACTTTGTAAATTGTGATAAAAAAACTGTTTCTTTTTGTCTTTAGATGTTTTAAACAAATATTATTTTTAACACCTTTAGCAATTATTACATTTAACCTACCTATCCTACTATTATAATCTTGTTTGGTTTTAGTGACATTGAGTGGTCGAATTTGCTTGATAGAATATCGATCGATCATTACAAATTAAAACTCTTCTTTGGGTATATTCCTGTCATAAATATTGATCTATCTATATAAATAATATATATTATATTGAAATAACTACTTATATTTATTGCCTATGAATATGAATAACAATATTATATATTCAACATTTTTTATGAAAAAAATTATCATTTTTAAAAATTGAAAAAAAGGACCATGAAAGGACCGGGTCTTGATATTTATAATTCCGGTGGATACTAGACGATAATATTATTTGATTTATTGGCAGTAGTTCATATTTACCGTATTTTTCATTATGTTCTATTATCTATCATTAACTGTATCGGCATTAAATTAATTTTTGCAAACGGTTTTATAAGTTTTCAATATTTTTACTTCATTGCACACGACCACTCGCTTTGGGTGCCCTGTATTTGTATGATGATAGAGTTTCGCGGCAGAGTCAACGGAGTTGATGTAATGTTCCGTGTCTACAACAGTGATCCTCCGCCTGGAGACAAACATTTTACTGGCAAATTAGTGGTTAGGGTGCTTCCGTAATCACAGTTTAACCGCGGTCGAGCAGAGTAGTGGTGAGGGCAGCAATACAATTTCGATCAAAAGTGGTTTTGGGTTAGTTGTAACTGTTATAATGTGCAATGTTATTTGATTTTAGAACTTTTTTACAGTCAATATAGTAATAGTCAGGCGTTCAAATTTAGTATCGTGATGTTTCATTGTGGGTAATGAAATATCGGTGGAAATAAACCCACGACAGTGGTGTACCTATTTTGCCTACTTGTGTCGCCGTGCTTGATCAAAATGTTTATGTTGAAATGCCCTGAAAGAATATTGCAAATTTAAGGCTGAGTCGTTTGTTGGTTTTTATGTTAAACATGAATTCATCCATGTATTTCCTTTTTATACGGCCGTTAGAAATGTAGTGACTACTATTTTATAGCCGGAAACGGAATTTCAGATCACGCCCCCGCACGAACCTATAATTTTCGACAGTTATTCCATAATATTTTAATTCACGTGTCAGGAGTAATGTGTATCGTCGATCGCGATCACTGTGTATAGTTATAGTCACGTAAGACCACCAGAGAGCAAAACGTTTGACACGCATACACATTTTTGCAACTCCACTAAAACTTAATTCTAATTTAACTTACCGCGTTCATGCTGAGAACTATATATTGTCTTGAATATTTTGTGTGTATAGTTATAACTGCAAGAGAGTAAAGCGTTTGAACAGCGGAGAACGCATTTTTGTAATACCACTAAAACTTAATCCTATATACACCTGCAGTACATAGCACCTGGGTATCCATATAGTTTTAATCCAGATGGTTGGAGGGGGGGGGGGCGAGGGAAGAGCTGATAAAAATAATGAATATATTATGATACAACTACTAGGCACAAACCCAGCCGCCCAGACCTCGTTCTAACGGTAGTTGGGCAAATTAAACGGGTAGGTACTTGGACATACATTTATAGCATTCAGCTTTCGCTAAAATATACACTTTTTTTCTCTTCTATACGCTCACCGAACACTGAGATAGTAATATGATTTATCGGAATTATTTAACAACTGTGAGTGCATGCACATCAATAAATTATAATAGACAGAATATTACGATAATGATTCTTTTACATTTCATAAATGTCGTGGTTATTGTTGGGGTCGACTGTGCGTTATTGTGACCTTCGCTACTATTTCTACGTTCATTGAGCTGTCTATGTTCACCGTTCGGTGGCGCCGCCAGGGATAATGAATATTGTTAAATTTTATCTCTCTCGACCGCGAAATATCGTGTGCGCCGAGAAGTGCCGTACACAATACGTTACTATAAAATAACTCATTGCCAGCTGAGCTATTGACTAAGACCTATAATCGAAAAAATGTTTACAGTCGACAAACACAAATACGGTTTACGGTTATTTGATAATTATTTTACTATACGTCCAAGATATTTATGTATATACATATATTGTATTTATATACATTATAATACGAAATATATAATGTTATGAATTTCATACCTTTTGAAAGGACGAAATTGTACCTACTGTAACACGAAAACATGTTGGTGACATTGGTCATTTTTATGCACATATACACATGCACGTGAATATATATCATATATACGTAGGTATATTATGCAATTTAGTAATGAAAAGTTTTAATTAAAAAAATAAAATAAAAATAAACCGGCTAGTAAAAGAACCAACAAATATCCAACAGATGTTTATGTTATGATTATTTACGTTACGTTTCTGTCGTAGACAATAACCGAAATGGTTTCCGAACGTGACCTAACATGTTTAGTGTAATTTGTTAGGTACTAGTGAAATAACTGCAATGTCGCAAGTGACCCGTCCACGGTTTTGTCGTTTCAAATTGTGTTCTTTTCCTAGTTCTAGAATCAGTTTTTTGTTTTTTGTTTTTGGTAAAATACGCGGAAAATAGTGTAGTTATTTTGTTTTATGTGTTTCTCTTTTGCACCACTTTTCCGGCCATGTAGATTTATTGTTTTATGTGTTATCCCATCCGTGTAAACGATCATCTATCACGGCGGAATACGATTTTAAACGTTGACTGGATATACTGTTTATTGATTCGTTCGTATTTGACACTCTGACTAGTATCGATTAAGCAACTGTCCAAAACTAGTTAATATATACTATTAGGCATATGTGTACCGATTTGTAGTTGTATAAATTCAAAAACATTTAAGGAACATGCCCAGAATTGATTAACAACACATGGTTCTCAACTTTCAGAGTACCTAAAACAAAAAGTAAAATTACAGTTATTTTCACAGAATAATATGTAGTATGTTTATTTTCGAGTACATGTTCTTAAACGTAATATATATATATATGTATACCATATAATGTGTAATTTAGGTAAAACTTAAAAAAATACATCTGTTTAATCTAATATTTTATTAATACTGTAGGTACTAAACTACTAAGTTTATTTTTATTTTGCACTTTTGTTTGTTGTTAAAATTGTTTAAGTTATGAAAATACTTTTATACAATACATCAAGTCGATATAGTTATGGATACAATATTGTAAAGTGGTATTTTTAAGAAATGTTATATCAAAAAAATTACATTTCCAAATAAAAATATTTATATTTCATTTGTAAAGCCAAAAACGTTGACATTTATGTTTTGTTTTTTTTCCAGGCAACTTATGAAGGTTTAGACGAAGTGTTGGTACTAGAAGACGACGCGAGATTTGAACCGTATTTCCGTTTCAAATTACAAATGGTATTGAACGAATTGAGACGCCTGAAAGTTTCTTGGGATTTAGTGTACGTATAATGAAATGTGTTACTAAGAACCTCGTTGGTACCTTCGTAAAAGACACGTCTTACAATTCGGATCGCGTTCATCATATTTTACGTAAGTTATTATTATTATTATTATTATTCCATTGTTGCTTGTTAAAATAGTTACATTGGCCGAAAGTCGCTAAACGACAACAACGAAAGCTGGTTGGAAAACTCGAAACTCCTAGTGCGGCCCGGCTATTCGTATTGGACACTCGGATATTTGTTGAGCGGACGAGGTGCGAAGAAACTGTTAAACGCCAACCCGTTAAAGAAATTGCTGCCAGTGGACGAATTCCTGCCGATAATGTTCAACCAACATCCTCAGTAAGTTTTGCACATAATAATATGTGTGTGTGTGTGCGTGTGTGTGCCTGTGCGTGTGAATGAATAATGACGATCGAATATTATACCAAAAGATATAAACAATATATTATCAAAATATGTTAAAAGCATTCCCTCTGAGAGGTCGGCGGGAATCCGCTCGTACCAATTATTGTAATACAGTAGTATTCGAGTGTTGAATAGAGAATCGTTTTATTTCCGTATAACTTCGCGTGGACATGTACGGCCAATACCTATTCTCTTTGAGCAAAATGCTATTCTACAACGAACGAATGCCATACATTTATTATTACACACATAGGTATTAAGTACTCTTAAGTAAAATGCAATTTATGCGAAACAACATAATTGAATACTATCATTGTAATAACGACGGTAATAATTCAACTAGAAACGATTTATCTACATATAAGTAGATACTAAAACGGGTAACCGATTATGACGATTTTATCAAAGGTTAGGTTAGGTCATAATATGGCCGTAACACGTTTGGGCACGAAATGATATTTTTGCCTGTGAATTTAAAAAAAACAAACGGGTGCACACTGCACACGTTTAAGTACATATTTTTTCGGACACCAAAAATATCATTACAAACGTTTGGGTACACACGTTTAGAAAAAAATTTTTTTTTCTATTTTACGTTTTGTTAGACTATTTTTTTAGACTATTAGCATTACCCAGGAGACATTACGAGGTCGTTGGCTCTTATAATTGCATCCCAAAACAATTTTTTTTGCAACTTTAATTTAAAAATATTTTTATCATTACAAATTATATTAAATATATTTAAAAATACTATAGAACATTATTATATAACATTTTCTAAACTATTATGTACTATATAAAATCTATAGAAATCAAAATTTTCTTATTTTCCCGTCTTGCTTTATTTTTTTGCAGTTCAGTCGATTACAGTACGTGTCTTACGTATATATGTTGTCGTCAATTTTATTTACCCTAATACATGACTAAATAAACAGGCGTGTCAGCAAAATCGTTCAGCGCATTAAGTGTGTCTCAAACATGGAATAAACGAGTTAATCATGAATTCTTTACCGTCTGCTCGATGTATTTGGGACATAATTTACCGTTTATTCCAAGTCTGTGGCACAGATGCGCAGTGATAGGAAAAGTACGCGTGTTTGCTGACATTCATGTTTATTTAACCTTGCCCAAACGTGTCTTGTTTATGTGTACCCAAACTTCTCTCTGATTTTGCTCTATAAGTTATGGTTTTTTACTCAAATACATTTTATTCTACGTGTCCATACGTTGGTCTATTTTTATTTCAACGTGTGGGATTTTGGGTCAATGTGTCCAAACGTTCACCGCCCTAAAATATGTTATGGTCTCCTGCCTCTACACGGGTGGCGCATACATTACTTTTGTAGGTACATCAACATTTTCAAAAAAAAAATGATCCACTTATTAATTTACATTAAAAAAAAAAGGATTCTCATTGGAAAATAGGAGTTTGTATCCACACACTACTCTCTTTAACTTAATTTAAAAATTATTAAATGCAAAAATGGGGTGCATGCTGTACCTATATTATAAAGTGTAGTAAGTTTTACTATATACAAATCATATAGTACTACCAGGTATATTTTATTATAATATGTGAAATTTAAATTTAAATTAAATATGTACATTTTTTATAAAGCTATGATTTATGTACAACAATATCATAACTTTAATTTTTAAGCTGTTTCTAGACAAATATTGTTTCGTAAAAATAATAAAAATGACCATACCTTCGTGTGCACTACCTAGCTTTATTCATATATTATTAAACTTTGTTTACATTGATTACTACAGTTTCACCTACGAAGTCCATCGTAAAAACTATGATTATCATATTTACCAGTTTGCACTAACTTATTCGTCAATCGTTGCGGGAAATAAAAACAATTTGACTACAATAATGAATACGATGCCCAGCATACATCGTAGGAGGGGACGGGGTGTTGTCTATATCGTCCATCTTTGCTATACCTTGTGAATGTTTTATCACACATAACAAGTTACAATACTGAACGTGTCTAAGTTATTATGTATCGAAAATCGAAAATTCCCAGTAGTTTTCAAAAGCATAAGAAATAACTAATTTTTCGGATTAGAAAGTACGAATACTTGAACGAATCGATGATGACGTGACAGTACGGTACATAGGACGTTTCACTTAAATCGCGGACGCAATGCAATTTTTAAAAACATAAAATTATTTTCATGTGATTTGCAATACTTTAATTTTACATAATTAAAAAACTAAAACTAGGTAAATATTTAAAATGATTTTGCTTTATTAAGTTATTTTTTCTATAAATCTGTTATTTTTATTTAAAATGTGTACGCATTAAAAAGAAGCATTCTTCTAAAGGGAAATACTCAATTTCTTAGAAAGTATTAACATGTCTGTAATTTTTGTATAATATTATGCTTTAATAAAGACAGAACTACGAGGTTATTCGAAAAAAAATGAAGTTGAAACAGGTACATTAAAGGTTATACGTTTTCACCAAATTGACGGAACAATTGACAAGTTGAACAACTGACGTACGTTAAAAATTTATAAAATATAGCATTTATAGCTAAGGATTAAACATTCAAAACTAAGTTTCTCATAAGTTTTTTATATATTTGGAACCATAAAATCTAAAAACTATATAAACACTGTAATACAAATTGATTAAAATTAATTAAAAAATTAATATGTTAAGTTCAGATTTGGACGAAATTAGATATTTAAACTAGGAATAATTACGGTTTTAGCTGTTTTTTTTTTGTAATTTAAAAATATTATGACAGACGTTTTCACTCAGAATCATTTTTCATTTACAGTGATTTATTATATTATTGAATTTAAATTAAACATATTCACTTTAGTAGCCAGTAACCCACTCGACACCTAATGCACATCAGAGCAGTACCCACTTGCTCAGGTTTTTAGTATTGGATTTTATATGTTTAAAATACCCTATTTATTTATTTCGGTCACACCGTTAAGCATAATATAATAAAAGTTAAAACTAAAACTAGGTTATGTTTATTACGATATTACCAATGTTTTTTAGTCCGATAATTTACATTTTATTTTACTTCAACATAAAAATGAAACATAAATTATTGTTTTCTCGTAACAGTTCATTCAAGTGCGCAATATTTTTAAATGTCATTTAAATATAATTAATTCACTGTATGGACCTGCCTACAGAGATCGTTTAATTATAAAACTATTATAGTTATAATTTCTGTAAGTAGTTTTGTTTTTAAGTATATCGTAACTACAAACGTTCTACATTTTTCAATCGATTTACAAAAATCCGTCATTATTTAACTTGAATAAATTTTATTATAGTCTTCAACTTATTGGGCACATTATATTAACAAACAGTATGACAATATAATTAAAATACAACTAATCAAGATTTATTAAATGATAAATACGTAAACAATAAGTATAAAATCGTAGGTCCCACAATAATTTTTACCTTATCCCTATATTTTAGGTACGCATACAATGTAATCGATCAGTACCTACTTACCATAAACTCTTGAACTTAATAAAAAAAAGCTAAAAGATAATTTGTGATTTGTATCAAAACAAATGTGATCTAAAAACAATATCATGTATACTGTATAGTGCCCTAAATTCGTCATCAATCGAGGTGTAGCCTTTAGGTAGACTACCTACACATGCTTCTGAATTTACAAGTCAAGTAAATGTACATTTTATTACAATACAGCATTTACCTATGTCCTATACTATACTGTCTTGAAGTTGACGTTGACACAAAAATATAGTAAATATTAATATTCAATGTTATGATTTTACTGAACTCTTCTCTAAATAAATAAAATATAACTACAAATTATTAAAGCTTTCAAGAAAAACTATTGATTTTTATAATATTATAGGCATTAGTGAAACGAGTTTATACTTGTGGGTACGAATTATTTTCACTTTTCTAATATTTAAGAATGTTCAAACAATCACATACAAAAGTTAAACTAATTATGCAGTTAATAGTTAAACATAACTTATATAGTTTTAGTTAGCCAACTGTACACAAAAAAAACAAAAACACAAAATTAAGCGTGTGTAAAATATAACGTGATTATTTTCACCCACGATAGAACACCCACGTCGTATATTATAGTATATGATTATAGTGTCAAAAGTTAAAGAGATGATGGATTCGATTACGATGATATCACTTTGTGTAACGAATTTTATGCGAACTATGACGAATGGCTTTGGTCGCTGAAGATAAATAAAACAACATATAGTTTAAAATTATTTTCTAAGAACTTTTTTCCCTCTTTTTTAAAACTTTGTTGGAATCAGATATTTTTTCAATATGCGTCGTTTGGTATACGATATCGTAACGGATGTGTATATAATATTATGTATTATTGTAATTTATTATGTATATTAATATAATATTATATACATATACGTATTGATATTAACACTTACAGTGTCTTAGTGCCTACTATACGAGTATACTGCCTAAGTATCAATTGATGCCTATTTGTTTGTTTTGCTGTATCGAAATCGCTATCGCTGTATTTTTTATAGCGAGTAAACAATACGCATGTATAGACCGATATTATAATAATATCATATTACTATTCGATATTGTAGTGTCCGCAATAGTATTGTGATATAGGTACAGATTGGCCCACGACGTTCTCTCATTTGTTCTCTCGTTCAAATCACCCTACGCACATGACGCGGAAATTCACTGTGCCACCCTGTGTGATTGTACGCATACTCTCGTGCGTTATGTACATATATGTATATCATATCGTATCTGCCGCAACTGTTACGGTGATATAATATATTTTATTCTGACACTCCCGCCGGAGTGGTGTGCAAAGTGTGAGCGCGATTTATTCACCAGCACGCTCGAAATGCGTCCTATGGCGCCGTCTGGGTTTTTTTTGGGGGAGGGGGGGGGAGAGAAAAACCACCTCGAATATTAAATAATGATCTGTTATTGTTACAGGGCCGAGTGGTCGGAGCAGTTTGACGAACGCAATTTAATCGCGTTGTCTGCGTCTCCTCTGCTCATCTATCCCATCAGGTACACCTCGGACGACGGTTACGTCAGCGACACTGAAGATTCAGTGACCGTTCAGGTGACGAACGACGAGCCCGCGACCGAACGAAAACAAACCAAAGAAGATTTGTGATCTGCGTGCCATTATTTGTTATTATTTTTTATTTTATAAAATTTTATCATCACAAATATTGAATAACCTGTTATCAAAATCTGTTACGTGTCATATCATATTTTTATATTCGTTAAGATTTTTATTTTTTTATATATACATTTAATCATTAATTATTATAATTATTTACACTGCAATATCGTTAGGAATATTATAATATTACATATTATCATCTGGCAATGAATTCGGCTTAAAGACTACCTATGTGTAGGGGAAAACCGCAGTAATATTCGCATCGTTCATTAGTAATTTCGCACTGACGCGTTCTTGTAGAAAATTTGCTTTTACTGAAGTTGTGGCCCTAGCGTAGTTTTTAGCAAGAGTGGGAAGAAGGGGAATTAAGTCGAGAGTGTTATATAAGATCAAAAAAAAAAAAAAGAAACGTACACTAAAAATGAACTTAAAGGGTATTTTGGACCTTTCGCACAAACTCTTGAACACGGTCACAGCTGGGGAGGACGAGAGGTAAAGCAGTTTTTTTTTTAAAGAAAATTATCAACTCTGTTGATTTAATCATTATTGCCAAAATAAATTTTGTTCGTTTTATTTTATATAGACACGAGAGACATTCCATTACATTTTATGATTGGTCAAATATGTATTTTTATATTATGTTAGGTACACTTTTAGAGGACAAATAATATATATAATATAACATAAGTATATTTTTATTTTTTAAACCGATGATATTTACTAACTATGTATAATCAAATTGAAAAAGTGTTTCTTATACCTCAATAGACTGATCGATTCATTTTTATAAGACTTACATAGGTACACCGATGATAACGTTTTATTTATGTGTTTTGATCTACAATTGGAGTGTAAATGATGTAAATTTTCCAAAGAATTGGTTTTTTGTTACCAAAGACAAAACTTTTTATGTGATGAATATTTCAATAAACTTAGTATTTGAGTTGTAAGCGTTAGATATAATACTTTGTAAACGCATAAATTATTATTTTAAATATTAAATGCCATATTTATTTAAATTAACTTGTTGTACTTTTACGCAGGTATTAATATATTATTGTTTTACACATATTATATTATATTTTAACGCTTGGTTTAATTATTGTTCACCATCGCCGCACGTCGTGACACGAATGCGTGTGTCTTCTGTCAGAAGCGGTGACATATTTTAATATACTTAGTGTTGTGTTATCATGTAAAGCACTCGATTAACATTTAACAATAAGAAGCTTAAGAAACCTACTGTTGAATCTATTACGAGTTGTGACGTGTATAATAAGACCTACCAAATGACTGACTGTATGTATAGGCATATTAATACTATAATATATCATATTATTATTATACCACGATGCACAGTGTTAAGGTGACCGAATTTTTCATTGACCGCGGCGAGTACTGTCGAAGCGGAACAAGTAGACTTCAACCGTTGTGGTAACCAGTTGTTTTGCCGCAATAATTATAGCCGTCGAACGAAGTCTTAAAAAATTCGGACTAAATTTAATAACAATTTTTAATAACTTCTCACACATTATACGACGGACACACGCTTCTTGGGACTACGGTCGATCGGGTCAAATGGTGCCGCGGTTAAGCACACACACAAGTCAATGACGTTTGTCTGTTTTCAAGTGTTCGTGGACTTCAGTTCTCAACCAACCGCACAATATGGCGTTGTGTCGATGGAAATATGACGTGGTTATTACTCAAGATGGCCGTTAATTTAGAGCCAGAGCGCTGTCAGTTTTAAACTTATTTCTATTTTATTGAATGCGTCACGACCCGCACGCCAACGGCGTTATTATTAAAATGTTCGAAATAAAAATAAACATTTTGCCATGCGGTAATGGTCTCGTCAATGGACACGTCGCCGGTCGCGTTCGAGTGCGTACGAACGACGTCTAATCAAATATTATCGTATTATCGTCGTCTAACACTCACACGACGTCCATAAAATGTCTTTAAAATAAACGTCAATAATATTTTCTCTTTGAAAATGCGGCCGTAGATAATATTTTAATCGAAAACAGCAAAATTTATTTCCACTCATAACCCACAAACATTTAACTTGGTAAAGCCAATATTTTCTGTACAACTAGGGAGATGTACGTATCATATTATAACTGATATAGTACAATTAATAATCGCTGTTTACGTTTATATTTAGGCACATAATACATAATGGCGTATGGTATATTCAGACTATTAACTATGGGGTACCTACATACACATTTTATACTCATATTATGTATGGGCAGTATATTTTATATTGATTCTTAAATAACTAGCACGATTTATTGAACGCTTTAACTTTAATGACTGTAATAATATTAAAAAAGTCCAATCACTATACAGTAGAATATTATCGCTTCATTTTGTTTTTATTTTTTATTTACTTTAAGCATCGGAAACCATGGCCAATTACAGCGTTATGTAGGGCGATTACGGTTGGTTTAGGAACACGTGAGTATGTGGGGCGGTTATTCGTCTGCTCTATAAAAAACTCGGTGGGTCACCCATCCGGGAGCTAGTGACGCCGGGCGATGCTTGACCCATTAATTGACTGTGACCAATTACCGCGGCACACTAGATCCCCTTCATAGTTTTGTTTCGTACCGTAGTCTGACTTAAAACTTTAAATAAATTACTCAAACTGCATCAGCGTGTTTAAGGGTTGTGAATACAGTTTGATTATTCAGAAAATGCAATCGTCACTATACTATCCATAGGCCGTTTAAAATATTTAGTAGGTAGTTATTAGATATATTATGTTATGAACTTGTTGTTTTTGTTTTATTGTATAGTTATCTAATACAAAATAGGTGTTATACTTACCATGACGTATTAACAGTTGATACAGGCACTTACTTTAAATATTTAACTTATTTGATACATTTTGTTTCACCGTGAACCTCGTAACGGACGATAGTCCTCCTTTGTTCCCACAAATTGTACATATTGTCGATAATCAAATCAATAAAGTAATGTGTTTACCAGTAGTCATTATTGATAACTTCATAAGGTGTTATGGCTTGTCAAAGTTAATTCCATTCACCGTCAGCGCTTCGCACAAAGCAGTGCTTTGAACTTTAATTCTTAAGGTCAACTCTAACCTTCAGTAAATTCAACATTTTAGTGGAACTATGAAACATATTCTACTCGATGCCGTCGGTGTCCAACTATCAAGTATGTATATATTTAATATGTTGATTATTATTATAGGAAATTCAGCTACAAATAAAATTAAAACGTATTAAAATATTAGATACAAACGATGATTATCTGTAATAACCACAACGAGTTTTTAATGCTTACATACTACGAAAAAACTAAATGTACTAACATATTTGTATGATTAAAACTATTTAGGTGTTGATGCGTAGTTATTATGTGTTCGATAAGGTGTTATGCGAATTTATTTTTAGATTTTTTCCTTGCAGGGGAACACAACTAATATTTAGCGGATTACGATTTAATTGAACAAAACTGTTAACTATTATAGGTACCGGCATAAAGGAATATCAACACATCGTGTTAAAATAGTTTTTCCATAACCGTGTAGATTTTTAATTATTTCAACGAGTCCTCAAAATATTGTTGTTACACTTAATCACTCACGTCATGATGGTTGATCACTGTTTTGCGTCGAGCACAAAAATATGTTCAGTTGGCGCACACAATAGTATACAGTTATACCTAGTTTGTCTGTATAATATTATTATTACCAAGTCATTTTTTTTCCTACTCAGACGGCAAGTCCTTAATCTGAAAGCAGGTAGTTTTTACTTATACTACTCGTATATTTATATAAAATGCTCGTTTGTTTAAATCGTTAACAACAATCGCTCTACGGGAGACTCGACGAACATAATATTATTATCAATTTGGCATAGCACAGAATATCGCAAACGATGTTCGTAATGTCAGTAAGTGTACATTCGCAGTACCTACTCGTAAGAAAATATCTACCAAAACGGAAACGTAATTAACATGCGTAGCACGGTTAAAATAATACGCGTAATCAACGACCTTCGTGTTTGTGTGTGCAAGTATATACGGCCAAGTTGCATGAATACTCTCGGGAATCATATTATATTTTAAACAAATAGGTGTGAATAAGACAAATTTTAAACTTGATTATCGTTTTATAATAATTATTTTAAATTGTTTTGAATATATTATTATGTGAAAGTGGAATCAATGAGGAATTGCTGCTGAATAATGTACAGACAAAAATATTACATGCCTTACATTTTGCCTAAACTCTTATATTCTAATAATATGTATTGTGGCGCCGAAGACGCTTTTCGTACCTACTGGAATAAATACTGAAATTTTCGACCAGAAACTCTTCTCGAAGTTGAAAATATTGGAATATTATTTCTATAACTGTCTAGTTTGTACTAATTATACTAATTACCTATATACATTTATCCTCTAACTTTTGTTATTATTCTAAAAACATTAATGGCAGACATAGTATTACTTAAATTATAACTTTCTATACGCAAAGAAATCATTAAAAAAGAATGACAAAGTTTCAGCTGTTACAATTTTATAATAATAAAGAAAAAAACAGACATTTCAATAGTTAGGATTTCGATGAAATATTATTATATTGTCATTCAAAAAATATTATCATTAAACTTTCCACGCCACTACATTCGATGATATAAGCAAAATTACTTAACACAATTACATTTCAAAAATATTTAAATTTTCATTGCGAGTTATTTATACTGCGAACCTATTCCAATCGGTTTATACGGTATCGGTATGTCAATATTGGCTTATGCATAAGTTAACAACAGCTAGTAATATTAAAATATGAAATAATATTATTATAATTTGTTCGAATTATTTGGCATTGATTTGTTTAAATTATAGGACCTTTTGGCTATTATTACTAGTACAAAGCTAAATTACTTATATAAATACAATATATTCCCCATCGATATATCTGATATAGTCTGACAGACGGTCTTCGTTCGGAATCGTTTTCAATTCAGATTTAATACATAATATATTAGTCGTTCGTTACATTGACATGCTCAATGACGAGGCACCTACAAGTGATACTCACTACAGCCGAGTGAGTTTCCGAATATTTTTGATTTTTTTAAAATCTATAACCAATCATTCAACGAATTCTCATTTTCATGCACAAGTGTTTAGGTTTATTAATATCAAGTCGAGTAATAAACATATAGTTATACAACCGTGTCAAATAACGTTATCATGTTACAGTCTCCAAAAGCCTCATAATATTATTAAACTATATGGGATGACCGCAAAAAAAAAACCCCTACATTGTACAACCACTCAACCTCGCTCTAATCGATCTTTATACATTTTTTTTATAACAGTGTTTTTCCACTGTGTAGGTTGATAAATGTTTTTCTACTAACTCGTTAGTATTAGTTATAGTAATAGTAATTGCAGTAGTAGTGTAGCAGTAGTAGTGGTAGTGTAATTTAGTTTTCTTCCGACTGAAAAAAATAAACGGTGTTCTTTATTACAACTGGGAATCTTTTTTTTTTTTATTATTTTTGTTTACGATAATATTATTGTTTTTCGTTTTGGTGTGATGTTGCAGTTTCAAATTTTAAACGTTGGTTTAATGAAAACACGCCAACTTCACAATGACGCCAGACACAAAGACGAAATAGCAGAAATTATTATTTCCTTGGACAAAAAAAAAAAATACGACGAAATTTATTAGCTATTTTCTCAAGTAGTTATACTACATATAGGTACTTATTATATCGTCTTACTCAGACTTGTCCCGCGAATGTATACATATATTGAATTATTGAACCACTTTATTTATTATTAACTTTAAGTTACAAATTACAATGGTTGAATGGTAATACACAA